AAATCGTCTGGAGTGCATACACTGTCCATGTCCAATTGAGGGCCACTTAGCCGGTCCTGTTCCTGAAAATTTTATATAACGTAAAATTCAGAAGAACATGGGCGAGAAGCAGAATTGTCCGGAATTGAAGTTGCCAGAGATGCAGAAGGTTGTGACCCTCGTGAGTAACAATGAAACCACAGCAGAACCAACACAAGCTGTAACAAACTGACAATTGGATTTTTGTGAGCAAAGTTCCCACATTGGAAAATACTTCAAACAAACCAAAGTAGGTATTGAAATGAAACAAAGTGAGGATGTAAATTTTAATGAACGCGAAGTGGAAAGGAAAACGGCTCCCTTGATGAAGGAATATAGACAAATTGAAAGACTGTTAGGCAGCACTCCCATGACGTACTAAATTGACAAATAAAAAATGCTTATTTTTTGACAACTGAGAGTTTGATTGGCTAAATCTGCCATTTGTACAGAGTCTTCCTGTTGGCACGAAAGAACTCAGTTTAATCACCTTTGTATAAAAGCATGATGGATAGGATTTGTCCCACTGAAAGTAAAATGGACTTTACCTTTCATCAAGAAAAATAGAAATACAACTTTAAAATAAATTATTTGTAAATTACTTACTTTGTCCATGTCCTTCATCTCTGAAACTGCAATACAATTGCTCTTCATGCAGAAATCCACATATTTAACCTGTATTAAATATATCTAATTAAATTTTGGAAACATTCTCTGAATCTGGATTTTTTACAAAAAGATTCCCTACAGTGTGTAAGCAGGTCATTCCGTCCATTGAATTTATATTGATTCGTCTAAGAGCTTCCCACCAAACCCATACCTTATCCTGTGATCCTGCAATTCCCATGGTTACTGTACGTTCACATCCCTCGTCATGACAGGCAATTTAGTATGGCCAGTCCACCTAATCTGCACATCTTTGGACTGTGGGAGTAAATCAGTGTACCCGCAGTAATCTCACGCAGACACAGGGAGAATGTGCAAACTCCCACAGACAGGCGCCCGAGGGTAGCAGTGAATCCGGATAACTGGTGCTGTGAGGCAACCATGCTAACCAAGGATATATCATGATTATCCATGCTCTCCCTGTGTAAAAGAGAGCTATCTGGTTTCTAAATATTAGCTCTCTTTTTCTCCATGGATGCTACCTGATCTGCTGCGATCTCAAGCATTTTTCTTTTGTTTTCAGATCAGATTCCAGCATCAACAATAATTTTGCTCCTTGCAGCAATGGGAGTAGTTTCACTTTCTCTGCTCTATTCAGACTCCTCATGATTTTAAAACAGCTCTTCAATTCCTTCTTTTCCCCCCTCAACCTTCTCTTCTCTTAGGAAAATAGTCGTAACATATGCGATCTTGAACTCCCAGGACCCTGAAATAATTCTTGTTGATCTTCCTGCATCTTCTATCTCGCCTTCACAACTGTCCTAAATGATATTGTCCAGAACGCGACTTAATATTCCAGCTGGAGTAAATGTATGTTCTACAAATTTAGCACAATTTCTTTGGTTTGTACTCAATGCCCCGTTTAATAAATCTCAGGGTTCCATATGCTCTATTTTGCACCCCCTCATGACAATTTTAGCATTTTATGCACTGATGTCTGCTTTCTGCTACATTTTATCACCACAATGTAGCTCCAGTCTATGTTTGTATCTATTTGCCTTTCCGCCGATCAGGGAGACAATTTTGTTCCATTTTACTTTTCTGAGAATTATTTCAGGTTATTTTATTTCAAAGTAAGCATCTGTCACTTCGTGATATTTGCTTTTTTTTATGCCCCATTATGTGAATTGGCCCAAACGTCTCTCTCTTGGCGGATGGATTCTGGTACAGCAACTTCCACAATGGTTTTACTGTCACAGTGATCTGGATTTAAAAGTGTCTGACAATTTCAAGTAGAGACGTTTCAATATACAGAAACCAATGCCTCCACGTGCATTCCATTTAGCCATTAACATAATGTCAGATATTTATATGGAATCTCATTTGTAAAGCCAGACATTTCAGAGAAAAGAGTTTCGGGCTGTTCATAATTTCCAACTGTTTTTCGATTTTGATCATGTCTTTTCTCATTGGTGTAGGAATTCAACGCTGATGATATAAAATCGTATAAAATAGTAACAGAAGAGGCTATTCCTCATTTGATACTGTTGTAAATTTCAAGAACATCAAGGAGAATCATGCTTCTTCACGTTATGGCTTGCTCTCTTTCCTAATCCATTGACAGCCTTCATATCCGAACTTTTATCAAAAGCTATGTTTTTTTTATCGGATCCCTTAAGAGGTTGGATCTGTCTTAATTTGGTCATTTCAGATTTTTTTTTTTCCTAAGGGATGGTTAATACAATGCAAGTCACTGTAATTTTATCGGTAATGTGGCCCTACAGCTAACAGTTGAACCTCGATAAATTTGATGGGAATATATGATAAATTTATGGACATACCAGATCAGATTGCTGTGACAGGAAGTGAAACCTGACTGCTAAGCTTAGCAATTGACTGATGTTAAAGGTTATTTGGCCACTGTAGTTGCAATGAAAAAGATAAAATAAGACCGATGATTCGACCATGGATACATTTGTCTCCTGTTTACGCGACGGTTGGATAAATGAGGTTACAGCTATGCGAGTTTTTTTTTTCCCCGCAGGCCACATGACATTGAACAACCTGGTAGACTGGGGTTTAGGAAAAGCATAAGAGAAGGCATGTCAGAAGCATCGACAGTGACAAATCGAGCAACATCTCGAAACCAATCATCCTAAAGAGCAGAACCTGAGTTCAGAAGTCTGAAAAAAAAATTCAACTTTTTGGAACAGTAAGAGTTGACATAAAACATATACGATTGTGAGACATCTAGGGCGGTGTAAACGTGGAATACCCATTTTCTCGTGCGGAAGATTCTAAGTTGGGGAGCATTGTTTTAAAATAGGAGTCGCCTATTTTAGAACGAGAGTGCATGATACATTTTCTTTCTAATTATCATAACGTTTTCCTACTCTGCTCCTCAAAAACATAGTGGGAGCAAACATTTTGAATATTTTAAGACTGTGCTGGTTGCTTTGTTGGTAGTCAACGAAATGAAAGATTGTCAAGGTGGTAGAAAGAGCCTATTTGAGTTTATGCCCAGATTCGGCATAAAGTAGTTGAAATTTCCAGTAGAATCATTCGGCCAAATAGAGTACTCACGTTGCTAACAATTCCGGACATATATTCCTATGCATGTCTTTAATAACATTAGTCATCTTGCGATGTTTCAAGTTTCAGGCATAGCAATGTGTGTTAGCCTGTTTCTTCAGCAAACTCTAAAGAAATTGCACGTCAGATCTTAATTATGCCTCTGGAGACTCTCATTCGGAATAAATGAGGGATGTCTCAATGTGTTACAGGACTAAATTCGACAGCACTGCATATTATTTGTGTTTCTCAACGACAATGCACGATCCGCCAAATGGACTGATCTTTGCCATTTTTTATCCTATCATCGCGATTATTGGTGCACCTGGTAAGTCGTCGATCCAAAATAAGCTCTGTGCTTGAAATGTTCAGAAATCTGGTTCTTTCCTTTCAGGATTGGTGCAAGGTTTACACATACTCGTCAGTAGATAAGTGTTTGGGATTTCAGCCAGTTTTCAGAATATCTCAATGAATTGAATGATATTACATTGTGTTCTGTTGAACGGTGGTGGATTACCCGCACATTAAGAGACATTATTCAATATGTTATGGTGCACGAAATGAAAACTTTTTCTTTGATCGCTGGAATATGAACTGTTGTGTATCTAATCTATGATTATGAATAGGCTATATGAATGAATATCAGGGTTTGTTTTCGAAAGTATTAAAATTCATTCTAACGTATTTAATGAAATGTCGAATACTGGTGTACCAACATGAAGCAACTAATATTTGCGCAGATAAATTTTACATCATTACACGGATTGCAATTTTTCATTATGTTAGGTTAGGTATGGAAATTCCTCCAATGATTACACGTGGAGAAGCAAATTTGAGTGCGAAAGATATAACAAGGTGGTAGGGACAGATAGTCTATAACAAGCATTTAGGTATGACAGACCGAATTTCATAGACTCAGACATCGCCATCTATAGGCTTATCCACTACGTGGTCGAATGATTAATATCAAAGATGCATAAGGCAGTCATGTTGGAGGTACTCCAAGAAACTACATGATATTACATGATACGGGGGTGTGACGGTCAAGAATACGCAGAGACTGGAAATTTGAATGATGGCTTCATTAAAAACGGACACTTGATGTACAGGGTCACATTGTGCGTCATTGGAACGTAAGAACATAGGAACTGGAGTAGTAGGCCATTCAGTCCGTCGAGCCCATTGTTCATTCAAGTGCATCATTTTAGACTTCTTGGCAAATTCCATGCGCCTGCTTTACACCAATATCCTTTAATACATTTGCTTAACTAGATTTTTTTTGCACAAAATTACAAATAACAACATATCAAACGTAAACTGCAGTTTATGAAAGAAAAATCTGCCACTTTGTTGTCTGTAAAACTGCTTCCTAACATCTCTCTTGCATGGTTTGGACCTTATTCTCAGATTATGGCCGCAGTTCTAAAATCCCCAACCAGTGCAAATAATGATCTATCCTGTCTTTTTGCAATAATATTTTGATGAGTGTTAACAAATAAAGTGATTTTATCTGAAGAAGGGCACCAGGAACAAATCTTCCACATGATCTTCAGATGAATAATGAAGCAGGGCTAATCCACTCAGTGACCAGAGCAGAGAATATTGTGAGAATTGATTGCAATGCCTTCTGTATTTCTGCACGTTTAATCCATAATTTAACAATTAAAAAATAATGAAAGCTTTGGAGCAGTCAGTGTCTGGATTTTGCAAAGAGTCGGATCTGGAGTAACAGACTAAATGAGGAAGAAACTGGTGTTTACAGTCCTTTAGTAATAGTTGATCTTTCCTGATCTCTTGCAGCTAATTTAATGGCCATTGTAATCTTATCCCGAGGACGGTGTGGACTCTCAAGATGCATCACTCGTTACCTCGTAGCAACAGCCGTGGCTGATTTCCTTGCCATCATCATCGGCTGCATCCTCAACCGGATCAGCGGCAATTATATTCGGTACAGTGTCTTGTCCACTACCCCTTTATGCTCTCTCAGCCTCGTGCTGATCCGATGCACCCGGGATGTTTCAGTTTGGCTAACAGCCGCCTTCACCTTTGACCGTTTTGTGGCCATTTGCTGTCAGAGCCGAAAGACCAGATACTGCACTGAGAAAACTGCATCGCTGGTCACAGGAATAGTTTATACACTGAGCTGCGTCAAGAATGTCCCTTTCTACTTCATTTTTGAGCCCTTGTACATTCTGGATGGGATGTCTTGGTTCTGTGACATCAAGATCACGTTTTATACCTGGCTGGTTTGGCAGGTCTACCACTGGCTAGATCGCATCTTAACCCCATTCCTTCCGTTCCTCCTCATTCTTCTGCTCAACGTCCTAACAATCAGATACATCCTAGTAGCCAGCAAAGTGCGTCAGAGGCTCCGGGGTGCCAACAATCGTGGAGACCTGGAAATGGAAAACCGCAAGAGGTCTATTGTTCTCCTCTTTGCTATCTCGCTCAGCTTCCTCCTCCTGTGGATCACTTATGTCGGACACTTCCTCTATTTGCAAGTTACAGGTCAGGGTTACTACAGTGGCCTGGATTTCAATGACTCACGTTTCATCCTTCAAGAATCAGCGAACATGTTCCAGTTACTCAATTCCTGCAACAACGTATTCATCTATGTAATATCTCAGAACAAATTTCGACAAGAACTGAAGAAGTTGCTGTTGAGCCCCTTCATATTCTCCTATAGTTGCTTTAAACAGTGAAAAGTAGAGACAACACAGTGGAAGTTGTCTCTCTTCGTTCGGGATGGCTCAGTGCATTGAAATCTCTGTCATACATTTAAAGCAGAAAGTTGGTGTTGTATTTCCTGCACTTAAAAAAAAGTCGGGTGCATTCTCCAGCTTTGTGAGTTTGCTGTTGCCAATATGGAATGAATGCAGAATTGTTGGAAGTACTGCTTTTCTGGACAAATTGCTGTACCACGTTTTTGTTTCTTCTGGTCACTATCTAAACGTCCCCATGTTCTGTACTAATGTTTAATTATTCTTCCAGTTTCTTTTCTCTTTCTACTCTTACTTTTCCATCTTCACTCACACGTTCCCTTGCAATCTTCCTTAATCCCACCGTCTCTTCTGACTACTGTTCCTCCTGTTCATCCTTTCTTCCTCAATTCATTTCGTGACGAAGGCCAACCATTATTATCTATCCCTAATTATCCAGGTCCCGAAAGTGTGCCCCCAAACCTGGTCAACATCATTGAACTGTGTCCTTAAAATTAATATGTGCAGGCTTACTGTTGTCTCTCTGTATGCTACGATTTGCCATCCAGATGATAAAGATTTGTTTCATTGACATATTAACAACATCAACAGCTTGTTCCTAAACTGTCGCATCTGAACTCAGATGTATTGGTCATCCTTCATTTTGGTACATTCATTTTCGTGATATGTTAAATTTTGTTTCTTTTTTATCCAAGTGGGAAATAGAAAAGATATTTCCATGGCATATTTGATTTTTAATTAATTTGTACAATTGTGAAGCGACAGTGACCAAAGGGGATAAACACATCCCAAACTTCATTCAGTTATTTTAGCAATTTCCTCTTAAAATGTTTGGGATTAATTATGCGTCTTAAGCCAATGCAAGAAGATAGTCTGTTTGCGTATATTTCAGTGGAGACTGCTCATCGATGGGTGTTCCGTTACTGCAAAAGCAGAATGCCATTGAAATTCTCATTTAATATAATTGGAACGGAAAGGCACCAAGTTATTGACTGTTCGGGGAATTTTACATCGTACAGATGTTTACTACAGGACAATAAAATAATTTGTGAACAATGACTGATGAGGCAAGTTGTTCAAAGTTCACAAAACGAAGAAAAATCCGAGAGACGAGGAATGATTCCAATGGGAGATCAAAGAAAATATAGGTAACCAAGGAGGTTAAAAACAACATCAATGTGAAAAACAAAATAGATCTGACTTGAGGAAGTGGCACAAGTAGCGGGTATAATCCTATTTGAGAAGGTTTTGGCAACTTTCCCTGATGGTGGAGTGGTTACTGCGGCAGAGCTGGTTCGATGGACATCCAAGGATGAAGGCGTTTACACTCAATCCTAACTTGTCGCAAAACATAAATGCTTTGTTAAATTTCAGAAACAGATAATATGCCATAGAACTTTTAGAAGTCTTATTGTACCTCACATTACTCAGGTTAACTGTGCAGCTCCACAATAAAAAGCTGAGTTAAAATGGTAGGTATAAATTGTGAAAGAGATTGTCTCTTTGAGTTAACTTTTTTTTTCGTTCAGTCTGCTTAGCTCCTGTGACCGTTTTTTACAAAGGGGACGATGGCTGACTTATTCTCTGACACTGATTTGCTGTCCAGTTTATTGGTTAAAACAGGAGCGATGACTTCTTCACTTTCACAGTCTCCTGTTCAGAATGCTCTGAAGGAGTGCTCCAAATGTTACCTCTTTATTTGTTTCCACAGAGGTAGCCAGAACAATTGAGCTTTTTCTAACGCTGCTACTTTGCATTACTGTGTATATGTGTTAGGATTTTTTTTTAAAGTTCTAGTTTCCTCTTCAGTTACTCCCTTATGTATAGTGCCGAGACAGCAAATGAACAGATTCACCTCATCCTCCATCTTAGTTGTACGAGTGTGTTCAGAAGTGACTGCAGGGGGTCTATTTTATTGTTTATCCAGGGTTAATGGTCTCCAATATTAGGTTTATTTCTGTAGATTTCAAGAATCTCATAAGAGTTCTAAATTTAATATTGTTGATATGTCAATGATTCAAGGTTCCTATGACATTTAATAATAATAATAATAATAATAATGAATCTGTGATCTTTCCTCTTTTTTGAAGGACTCATGACAACAGACAGAAAAAGAAGTTGCTTAAAAAAAAACTCATCACGTCACCAGAATGTGAGGAGAGAAATCAGAGTTAACATTTCGGCTTCAGTGACTCTTCATCAGAACTGATGGCAACTGGGAAAATGCCGATTTTTATGCAGAAGATAGGGTGGGGGAGGCGGGAAGGAATAAACGATAGGTGGAGGTACAGAACAAAGAGAGAGCTAACAGTTCGACAGACAAATAAGTGAATAATTATCACGCTAGGAGAGTGAATACCCATTCATAGGGACTGTTAATGCTACTGGTGTGTTGTGTTAAGAGCAGGCCATGTAACAATAAGAGATGGTTTGTGTGCCTTGGAGGAAGTACATTGGAGAGGTTCAAGCCCTAAAGTTTTTGAACTCAATATAAAGGCCAGAAGGCTGTAGAGTTCCGAAACGTAAAATGAGGAGCTGTTCTTCCAGTATGTGCTGAACTTCACTCGCGTGCTGCAGCAAGTCTGAGTCAGAAAGGTTGGTCAAGGAACAAGATAATGTGTGGAAGTGACAGGCAACTGGAAACCTACGATCTTTTTTTTGCTTCTGAACAGAGCATAGGTGTTCCACGAAGCAGTCACGCAGTCTTTGTTTACTCATTACAGGAGATCACACTGTGAGCAGCGAATACAATGCAATATTTGAGTAAAGTGCAGGTAAATTGCTGCTTCACATGGAAGCTATATTAGGGCCCTTGAATGCTGAGGAGCGTGAAAGTAAACTGACTGGTGTTACATTTTATACGGTTCCAGGGGAAGGTGCCATGAGGTTGTGGGGGCGGGCGTTTTGGAATTGAAAGAGATGTGAGTAATGGTGTCTGGAAGGAAATGTACTTGCTGAAGGCTGACAAAGGAGAGGAGGAGAATGTATGACTGGTGCTGGCATCCTGCTGGAGGTGGCCAAACTGGCAGCTAATGATTCTAAAGTTAATTATGTATGCACATGCAAATTTAGCTCTTTTTATATATATTTATATTGGTATGTGTCTGCATCTCTCAATGCAATGAGAGATGATGTATCTGATGTTGAATGAACTGAAGAAAGTGTCAAAGCCTCACTTCCATTGTGTTGAGAGTAACATAAAGCCACCTTCTGCTGCTGGTTAGTCGCCACTATACATGGGAAGGATGAAATTCGTCAGGGATAAAGTCAGATGAAGGGTAGCAACACAAGCATAATCCAAACTGAAAGTAATATGAACTCACATACAGAGTCAGTGTGGGAAAACAGGGGCTGTCAGTGGAATCATTCACTGTGCAACGTATGCAGCAATTGAAAATACCCGGAGAAAAGAGATCAAGGAGCAGCAAGTTCTGTCAAGCCAAACGTATCACCACAGCGAACACTGCAGACAGGAACCATTGAAATTTTGAGCTGCAGGTTTATTTTCCATTTCATAAAATACATGTTTTGTTGTGTCTGACCTGTGATTTTCGCGATTCTCTGCACCCCGAAGCCTCTGACAGGCTGTGCTAGCTGCTAAGATGTGAGTGATTGTCAGGACCTTGGGCAGGGAAATGAGGAAGAACGGAATAACTGGCGTTAAGATGTGATCCAGCCAAGTAGGCCAGCCTGACCGGTCGGATATAAAACGTTTCAGAGATAGTAGGAAGTGAAGATGCTGGAGAATCTGAGATAACAAGGTGTAGACCTGGATGAACACAGCAGGCCAAGCAGCATCAGAGGAGCAGGAAGGCTGACGTTTCGGGCCTAGGATTTGGTGTTGTGCAATGAGGTAGACTTGATAAGGGAGCTTAAGGTAAAGGAACCCTTAGGAGGCAGT